AAACAAGGCCTTTCCACTGATTAAGTCACACAAACATGATGCAGCATGAGCTGCTTGACTTAAAGTCAGCTGATGGTGTGTTGGAGTTAACCTCGAGTATAGAAAGTCCTCACAGTCACACTCAGACTAGCCGGTGAGAACAGCTTAGCCAAGCCCTTGGGGGAGTCTCAACCCGACGAAACAAAGCTTGTTCAAACAAGGTAGGTTGTACAATAATTTGCTTTTGCTCAGCGCGAGATCACCGAGTTTAAATGCCCCCAATTTGTCGACTGTCTCACGGTGTAAATTCTAGCTCATTAGAAGACTAAATCAACAAGAACCCAATGCAAAGGTCTGGCTCAAAATTTGACAAAAAAGTTGTCCAGGAAGTAATCAATGGCCGTCGCACAAAAACAATCATCAATGCTTATAAAAATCCATTTTTGTTCCTTTCACTGCGCACAGAGACGGAATGATGCTCGCCCACACAATTCTTGCAGGTAACAAAATTCCACAACACTAAAATACACGGTTTGTATTTTCCCTTTGTTGCAAGAAGCAGTAATTTCGGCTCGGTTCTTTTTGCAGCACAACTGATTGTTCCTTTCGATCAAACTAAATCACCTTTTTCATAAAACCCAGCTTGGGAAATTGCAGGAAGCCGCGTCCCTCTTCCTGCATTTGCAGGTCCTTTCTACCGCGCTCACAGAATAATCTATTTCGTGCTGACAAACAGCAGCGGGACAGAAATATGTCGTCCGTTATATTTTGTGTACTATTACCAGTCCGGACAAATGGGGAAAAACAAATGGCCCCGTGGAGTTCCATGAAATATGTGGGGAGACGTTATGGGAGCAGAAGGCCCCCCCGGAGCCGGGGAGTCCATGTCGGCGTCGGCAGCCGCGAAACGAATTCGGACACAGCGCAGAATTTGTTTACAAATTGTGAAGTAGAGGATGATTCACCGGCAGTGACCTCATCAACGCATCAACGCTTCCACGCAGCCGGCGAAGGAAGCTGTGGACGGGTGGCTGCAGCCGTTTCCACCTCCGAGCACGTAAAAAAACATTGTTTCCGCTGGGCAGACCGCCCACCTGCCTGGTCTCTGCGCCAGAGGCCAAGACTTGGGTTTCTTGAGCAATTAGATGGAGAAACGAATGCGTTTCTCTTACCAGTAACCGAATCGACACCTTTGTATCAACCAGTCCAAAAACAGAGTCTTATTTTTAATACAAGTGCAAACAACAAGTCACGGTCAGCGGCGCTTTCTCAGGCGCAAACGTAAGGCACCAAGTTCCCCTGATCCCAGCGGCTGCTCTGGCCAAGGGTTTCCCCGCTCTGACTGTCTGACTAAAGTTTGCGTTTTCCGCAACTGGAGACGAGCGTCTTGCCCATTGCTCAACACAGAGGCTGTACGGCCCAGACGGACTATGTGGACACGCACACACGTGGGTGCAGGTTATCAAGACTCCGCGGCTACGCTGTTGGGACTTGGGGCGGCCGCGCCTTTGTCCAGGTGACAGGTAGCGACGCTAACGTAGTCGTGGCCGTCACGGACCATCTGGCTGTGTCCGCAGGCCAACACACCCTGGCGTGGCGTCTCCTTGTCACCTGTATCATGTGCGCACAGTAGTAGAACTCTAACGTGGCCTCGCAAACACGGCGTTCATGTCGTCGTGGGCATCGGTGGGCGTTGACCTCGCCCAGCAGCGCTTTCAAGGCACGAGGTCCCCTGGGTTTTGGGGGCGAGTTGCTCAGAGACAAGCCCGGGCGCTTAGGAGGGAGTGAGAGGAGCTGGCGGCCGCCGTCAGGTGCGGGGCAGCGATCAGAGGGGACCTGTGTGTTGGCATGTTGTTTGTCAGGGGTCTTTGCAACGTGACAGCCCACACAGTGAGCCCCTGGCTCCACCGCTCTGCAGTAAATGCAGTTAATATTCTGCGGGAACATGTGGAGCAAGAGGACTGTTTGAGTTCCAGTGGAGCCTGGCGCGTGGCCTGCAAACTCAACCTGCTCCTGCCCTCCGCTTCAGCTGTCAAGCCTCCTTATAAAGAGATCAACATGGCATGCTCACACAAAGGCTGCACATATATGTCCACAGCAGTTGTGTTTGTATTGGGCAAAACATGGATACACACAGGGAGGCGACTGGAAAAGTGGACTGTGGACTATTCGGGAAGTGGAATATTACTTGGGAGTGAACAATGAAGTGGCTGTGGAGCCATGAAGGACACGGGAGAATCTAAAATGCCCGTTACTTCCGTGGAAGAAATCCACGCGGGAAGGCTGAACGCCGCGCGAGTTCAACTCAATGACATTCCGGGAAGAGACACATGGTGTGGCCGGCACTTCTCCTCCGTGGAATCCACCCAAAGGACACAAAAGCTCTCATTCCACCCGCCACCCGCACTCCTATTTCACTGCAGCACAATTTACAATAGTCAAGATGTAGAAACAACCTACGTGCCCAACGGCAGAGGCGTGGAGAAGAATCATGGTGGAATACTATGCAGCCATGAAAAAGATGGACCCGTGCCTTCTTTGACGAAATGGGTGGAGCTGGAGGGGGTCGGGGTTGTTGCACAAAATACAGATCCTGGATGATTTCACTCTTCAGTGGGACTTAGAGAAACCAAGCAAAGGGCCCGTCAAAAGCAAAGCTGTAAAACAAACCCCAGGAAGGTGACTGTGGAGCTGAGGCCTGCAGAGGGGGCGACGGGCCCCGTGGCCCGCAGGGGAGGAGCTTGGCTCCTGGGTGCTGCGTTGCTTTCTAGGCTGTGTAGACAGCTGACACCGTTCCACAGAACGTGCAACAACTATGAAAACCAAGGCTGACGGCTGGTCACTGCAACGAGAGCTTTGCTGCCGTGTTGTATTCTCCGTAGAGCGGCTCCCCCAGGGGACGCGTCCCCACACCACCCCCGTAAAATGTCTCTGGTCTATAGTTGTTCATTATTAATATTAGTGTTTTCCTCTGGTCCATTACACTCCTGCTATGACTGAAACCATCGGTATTTTTCCTTTTCTTCACTGAGCACGATCCCTTCCAGCTCCATCTATTTTGCTACCAAAGGCACGAGCTTATCTTTT